GGGGGTGGCTGTTTTGGGTATCTTTTTGGCTGAATACTGTTTCTGCATTCTCTATGAGAATTAGGAGAGGTCGGGAGCTCTCAAATCTCCCTTAGTTGTGTTGATAAATAAAATTGAGGCTTAGGCCTATCAGCTTTTTTCCCTTTCATTTGGAAATTTGTTTTTCTAACATTTTGGAGTTTATCTTATGTTTAATTTTTAATTTACAGCATCCTCTAGTCTTCTTACACAAATTCAATCTCAAAATAGCATCTCCATTTTCAGTAACAATGCAATCATCAAAATTATAATGTAATTTTTTATGCAAACAGTATGATAAAATGGAACAAAATCTTACCTCACGGCTTAAGAAAAACTTCATGTTCTTAAAAAGTTTCTTACACTCTCTGGTATCTTCATCCTCATCATCATCCTTACCAGCTGCATCTTCGACAAGGTGCATCAATGCGGTTGGCTCATTTAAGGGAAGTTGGTGTTGAAGCTGTGCTAGTCTAAGTTCAGACTTCTCTTCAGCACCAACTTGTTCTGATCCAGATGAACCAGAAGTTTGAGGATCTAATAGGGAAGTTCTATTGTTGGCATCAAAATATCTCGACAAGGCATAAAGATCTGCAGATTCAAAAAATAATAAGAAACTAGGAAACCAGGAAAATAATTAAATTAAAGGTTACTAAAACTAGAGCAACCTAAAACAGTATAGTTTTTTCAACTAAACACCAAAATCACCTGCTGCCAAAGCCTCCAAATGAGGGTCCAGAATCGGTGGATACTTCAAATTAATTGAATGATATAAGTGAAAGTTCACAAATGCAAGAAGAGTCTGCATCCATAATAATTATAAGGAGTGAGCTAGATAAATCCAATGTGAAAAGGTAGAACGTTACAAATAGTTAAAAATTAACACGATAAATGTGCATTGCACACTTATTTTCTCCTATGGCATATTAGAGCACAAGAATTAAGAGTCCCAAACAAGTAGCCAAAGTATATTATTGTTGAAAGAGAAAAAAGCAAGGATTTAGTACGCATCAAGATGCTTAGTTCTCTCTGCAAAACTATTCCCAATAACCTCTTATTACATCCCAAGTCCCCTAAAACTTCCCTTCTTTTGTATCCTTATCTGACTTAGCTTGAGCGCACCTCAACTAACAAACTTACCTCACGCCTAAACCCTAAACACTAAACCCTAACTTTTCTATTAGTAGCACTTCAACCTTGCAACTAAAAAACTTACCTCGAGACAAGCCACTCGACCACTTGGAAACTAACTAATTAATATAGCTAATTTTGATACCTTTTTCAGCCTTTTGACCAAGATCAAGTGTAGTATCTGTTATTATGAGTTTAATTTTGCTATCTACCATGCTCTCCATTCTTTTGTTGAGAGAGATGGAGGGAGGGAGGAAGCATTTTTTGTGAATAATCTGAACTATGCCAGCCTGCTTTTCTAAATATATTATATACATAAACTCGTGATTAGAAAACTAAGCAATGAACTCTCTAGAAGTTTCTCTCTATTCACTCCACTAGGAAGACAGCTAAATAAAAGAACCAAAAACTTTTGTAGAGTAACTGAAAATAAAACAAGGTTACCTCATAAAATTCCATGAAGTTAAGAATAACGGATAAGTCAACATCATCGGTCAATGCTTGATGCAGCGAATGAGGGGCAAGCCATGTAATCTTTTGACCTTCTACCTCAGCCTAGACAAGCAACAAAATTAAGAAAATTCCTTTGGAATATAAAATGCTTCACATGACACTAGCTATCAAAATATAAATCATGATATACCTGATAGTAAATGCCCTTCACAGATATAAAGACTTTCCGTAATTTATGAGTTCGAGAAATAAATGCTTGCCATTCATGACTCAACCTAGCAAAAGATACAAAATAAACACATGTGATGAGATATTGAAGTTGTAATTTTATTGTCATGCCAATAATACAAGACAAGTGGGCAGCTTATAATTGTAGTTCATAAGAACTTATTTTGGCTATTAAACACCAACCTCCGACAATTATGGATACGCTTTGCCTCAATCTTTACCCTCTCCTGTGCGGGCAATGCTGCAAAAAGGTGCACCATCGAGAGGCAATCATCCAAATCTCTAAGCGCATCAATGAATTTAGGGTACCTAGAATTCCAAACACATGCAACAATTGGAATTTGGAAAAGATTTCATTGTGGGGGAACAAAATATACAATTCTCTTAGGAGGGAAAAAAGTACAAACCTCTCCCTTATTATTCTGTCTAGTACATATGTAGGCCTATGAACTTTCAGAAAGTTTGCACGCTCCTTGTTCTTCTTTGCATCAGCTTTGTTTATCTTTTTCTCATATGCCCTAAGCTCCCTAAATTTCTCCAGAAGTGGTTCATGATGAAGAAAAGCAACATCCTTCAAATGGTAGTAAGTGTGGTGATTTCCTTTAACTTTCTTCTTAGGCTCTCGAGGAAATATTCCCTTGAAAATGCATAGCTTCCTGTCATGGTAATAGAAACACATCTTCTCAATAACATTAATTTTCAATTAAGGTAAAACAATTTCATCCTAGTCTAACCAGTTTCGATATAATATTTTAAAAATCTTCAGACACTTGTTCATATCAAGTATTTAAAATCAAATGAAAGCGTGTTCAACCCTAAAAATAAAAAAGTGCATTTACTTCAAAGTATCTATGATTATGAACAAATTTTAAAGCCAGTTGTATAGCGTATGGGAGTAAGATAAAACTCAAACTTTTCCCACATTTTTTTTTGTCCAAAACACCATCCCCTTTTTGCTCGGTATTACTACCATTTCTGCTGAAACTCCAACTAAATCTAAATAAATGGTGCAACGCTGAGGAGCCAAAATCAATACTAATCATGCGTTTTCAAGCACACCCCATTCATGATGCAAGTAACCATATTTCTAAGAGAAGAGATACCTGAAAAGCGGTAGGCTAACTTGCAGCTGCTTCACAGCCTGCGACCTGGTCACATATCTCGCCGCATTACCCTCCTTCTTCTTCCCCTGTTAAACGAACAAAAGTAGAAAAACTAAGCAAACTATCCGCGTCGAACAGCTCAATAATCCTCAATAGTAACAACCATCAGCATGGAACACACTTGGAAACAAATTCGAACTTACCGGAGGCCTGTAGTGCTTCTTCCTCGTAACTTTGTTCACCATTGTTACAGAAACTGCAGGCTTGGATACGGTGATGGAGAGAGTAGAGCGAGATAGTTGGATTGAAGGAAACAGCCGACTATGGTGGCTGACCTAGCGTGCGGCGGTGGCTCGGCGGATCAAGCGGCGGCGGTCGATGGACAGAGGAGGGTGAGAGATTGAAGAGAGGGTCGATGGAGGCTCTCCGAGAGAAGTGTTTTAGGGTTTAAATATTTAATATATTAATGACTTCATGTAGTAGGGTTGATACACATGATTTTTCAACTCAATAACCTATTTTTCTCTATAGCATATATTTTAGCGTACATGAAATTGAATGGATCAGAACTTGCATTATTAGATTATAACATTTAAAATTGTTGAAGCTAAAAATTAAATATTAAAATTAAAAGCCAAAGCGAGCATAGTTCAACCAGGAGGCGAGTTCTCCCAATAATGTCGATTGGATGCCCTTAGTCATTTTATTCTTTCTTGTCTCTGACGATTAACCTATTCCAGAGCAGTCTAGTGATTAGCCTACCTCGCACTACTTGAAGTCTTCGTAAACTCATTGTCCACAGTGGAGGTTGCTATGAGGAGATCTTTGTGTCATTGAAGATTGCTTCTAGTGATCGGGAAATAAAAAAAAAACCATTGATTTATTTCATTTTATGTTGTAGCAGTTTTTTGCTTTTTTGTTCTTTGGTCATTTCTGATAACCTGATTGATCTACTTCACCTTTTCGATATTGGTTCGGGACTCTCTTGAGTGGTATTTGCTCAGGAACTGTATGAAGGATTGGCTTCTGTACGTCAATTGGTACTGTAAATTAACATATATCTCCAATTAAGAGATTGTGAGTTAAATCTCTCACCTCCACTTGTTGTATTAAAAAAAATTATACTAAAATATAATTGTGGATGGACTTTACTAGACGATTTATATGATTGGAAATGTAAATCAATTTATTTATTTTGTTTATCAAATGAATAGAACCAAATTCACCACAAACTTGCAATCTCATTTCAAGGAAGTCTCATCCGCCGGTAACTTTCTAATTAATTATCTTACACTTTGATTATTTCTTTCTCATATATAATACTAACATATTTTTTTCAAATAAAAAATCATACTACTTTTATTTAATTGACGTGATTTTATTATAAAATATTATTAATTTGTTTTTAGTTTTAAAATTTGTAAGGTTTACTTTTTTATTATCGGGTAATGTCAATATTTTTATATATATAATTCATTATGATTAAATGATGGTTTATAAATTTATAGTAATAATATTTTATATTATAATAATAATAATATTTTATATTTCTTTAGTACAATAATCTTTTATATTAAATGATGTTTGTTCTAATAAAAATATTTATTTTAATTATTAATTATTATTCAATAAATTGTTAAATAAAAAATATTTATTATCAATAACAAAATAAAATAAATTTTATTGTTATTTTAATTAAAAAAAATAGTAGCACAATAATATATTTGTAATTAGTTATGGAATAAAATAGTATACTAGTAATTGGGGAAAATCGCATAAATAAGTGTTTTCCTAGTGCCAATTTTATTTTTTAATCGTCATTTTCAAAACACAAGTTTCTAGACATTTCATCATTTTTTGGTAAAATTACTTATTTATCCTTCTTTACTTATCTTGTCTCCTTTTTCACTCTTCTCTCTTCCCTGTCTTGTGTTCTCTTTCTTCCCTCCCTTCTCCCTCTTTCTTCTCTCACGAATTATTTCTGCAATTTCTCATTTATCTTTAGATTTTTTTTTTCAATTTAATTACTAATTTGTAAATAAAAATTTGTAAACAGAAAAATAATCAAAGATTTCGTTTGATCCTCTATTATTTAGAAAATCCTTTCTTTTTAGTGGATCATGTATTATTTTGAAAATCCTTGGCAATTTTAATTTATTTTCCAAATTCATTTCTTTTCGGCGAGAGAGATTTGATTGTCTTTTGTCACCAATTTCCATAGTCGGAATCCCCTTCTTCTCGAGCCTTTTAACAATTTTGTCGGTGGTCAATTCTTTTCTAAAGTGGTCGATTCTCGCTCTAGCTCTCTCTCGCTGAAATTATCTCGCTCTCGTCGGATCTCTCGCCCTCTCCCTCCCCCTGCTGAAATTCTCGATCTCGCTCTCCCTCTCCCTCTTCCCGCTGAAATTCCCGATCTCGCTCTCCCTCTCTCGCTGAAATTCTCGCTCTCGCTCTCGTCGGATCTCTTGCCCTTTCCCTCTCCCTCTCCTACTGAAATTCTCGATCTCGCTCTCCCTCTCTCCCTCTCTCTCTCTCGTCGAAACTCCTTCTCTCCCTCCTCGTTTTAGAAATTGGAAAAATATTTTCGAAATAATATTGGATCCACCTAAATTTATTTTTAACAAATATATCCCTTTTATTATCTCTTTGTTTTCAAATTTTTTATTTACAAATTGTTGGTAATTAAATTAAAAAAAATTCTAAAGACAGTGAGTCTTCGTTTTTTTTTTATGAAATCTGGGAAAAGACGGCAAAAATAATTGTGAGGGGTGGAGGGAGAGAAGAAAGAGTACACAAGACAGGGGGAGGAGAGAGAAAAGTGAGAAAGGAGATAAAAGAGATGAAAAGTTGAAGGAGGGTAAATACATAATTTCACCAAAAACTGACTGTCATCAAATGTCTAGAAAACTTGTGTTTTAAAAAAGTGATTAAAAAACAAAATTGGCCGGTGGAAAACGCTTATTTATGCAATTTTCCTTAGTAATTGTTATATATTTGATTCTAATTCCATAAAATTTATGGCAATCAACATCAAAGAAATAACATTCACCTTCCGATTGATTTTCGATCATGTTTACTTCTAAATAATGGGAATCAGGGAATGAGAATGAATTTTTCGGTTATTTTTTAGTATTTACCAAGTTGTATGAATTTAATCAAATTGTGGAACTTACCTCAAATTTTGTAACCTCATTACATAATAATTTCATTTATCTCCTACACCCCTTATCAATTTTATTCTCATTCTTAATTCTACCCAACACATTTATTGTAATTATTTACTACTCTTGTCCTTTAACTTTTTTAATTAATTGTTTTAAATTTTTATTGTTTGTTTTTAACTTATATTACTAATAGTTACTTCTAGTAAAAATTTATACCAATTTTTATTAGCTAATGTAATTTTATTATTAAATATAATAAATTTATATTTATTTATTTTATCTTACTTTGTTATTGTTAATTAATGTTAGTCAATTTTTTAAAATATAATTTATTAATAATCAAATTTAACAATGTTTGATGACTATTCTAATAAAAAAATTATTTTAGTTGATAGAAATTTTATTTAAATTATTTATTATTTATTAATATTAAATAATTTGTTATAACAAAAAATATTTACTAACGGATAATATAGTAATCAAATAGATTAAGAGGTATTACTATTTCAATTAAAGAAAATATATTAGCACAACAGTTTATTTGTAATTAACTATAAATAAGAAAATCGTATATTAGTAATTGTTATAGATATGGTTCTGATTCTGATTCCAGACAGTTTTAGTAAACAACATCAAATAATCGATTATGATTCCAGATATGGTAAACAACATCAAACAACATTCTCATTCGGATTGATTTGATTCCGGTTTATTATGATTCCTTGTAAGTAAATAGGGTCTTCGTTCATATTCATTCTTATCCCGATTCCTGGTAAGTAAATATGACCCTAGTTGTTTGCTATACGAATGTCTCAATAGTTAGTACACAAGTCGTCGAAGTCGTATATAGCAAGTAAAACGTCAAAGTTTCTCTATTCATGATTCATCTGGATAAGACGTATATTCCAACATAAAATATTGTAGGTTCAAAATTTCATCCCACGTGGATGTACTAAAAAAAATTTAGTTATTTTTTTTTTCTGTCAATGAAAATTAAAACAACATAAATATAAAGAAAAC